TGATCTACTTACCTGTCCACTATTCCTAACCTAGGCTGGAAAATGTGCCAGTTTGGTGAGTTTCTGAATTTAGATTTTGCGTGTTATGATGAGAAAAGCAGCAATTATTATGAATATATCCAAACAGGGATCTATTTTAAGCTTAGAGCAACTAATCTCTCAGTCACTGCTGCAGGCTCTCTGCAAGTTCAGGACGACACCACTGCATATGCAAAATATGCCTGACCTTTTAAAGAATTCTGTGAAACCTTAGTAAGTAGGGACTACCTGAAAAAAAAAATCAGATCTGAAAATCAGTAGAATAACTCCTCCCTTCTATCACTTTTGCTTACTTCCCAAATTCATTGTTTCCTAAAGGATGGAAGCCATAAAAAGAAAATATTTATCACTGACATGTCATGTCATCACTTTTTGAAAAGCCTTCCACAGAAAGAGAGAGATTTAAGATGGCGGAGTAAAGTCTTTCCTTAATCCAATTAGCATTTAAATATTTTAATCAATAAAAGATGACAACTGGACTGGGCTTGATACCAACTTGAGAGCTGTGCCTTTTATCACACATGGTCTCCGTTGCACTGATGTGTTACTGAACAGTAGTAAACATACCAGAACAGTAAACATCCATGACACAATCTGGGAGCCGTAAAAACTTAGAATCTTTACCTTCTATGGCAGCAAAAGGAGTAGCAGAAAATTAACAGCAAGGAATGATTTCCTGAAAACTGGAATGATAGTGATATATTTAAGATGCCTCTGATGAGACCCATTAACCAGTAGAAAACAGCAACTGTGAGCTCTGTGTGTTTGCATGTGACCTGAAACAGTTAACAATACTGATATTTAATCATCATAACCATGACAAAGCAGAAAAAATAATTCTCAACATTTGTTCTCCCAATACCATTTGTCAGACAAGCATGTAGTAAGTGCATTTGCTGGAAGTGTTTATGCTTAATGAATGACTAACATTGCTAAGTTCAGTCTGCATCTTTAGTGCAAAGAGAGAGAGAAAGGAAAGAGAAGTAGTTTCTAGAGGTTTTCTACTAGAAAGCCAATCTGAAAATGTCTGCTTAGTTAGGTAGTTATTTGGCCACCAATTCAGTGGTGCCTGAAAAATCTACTTGCTATTTATCACAAATGAATGACAGCATGACAAAAAAGAAAAAGTGTCAGAAGTATCTTTGTGAACCACATAAGAAAGTAATCTTGACCAGCAATACCCACATGGAGAACAATTCACTCAGCTCTTCCTTCAGTTCCTTGGCAAGATTTCAAACGAATTCTTCCAGGTCCCTTCAACACATCTGTTCACGTTGCCCTGAAGTGGGTGAAGTAAACACTCCTTGTCAACAGAGAACTTGCATCTTCTGCAGGCGTTAGCCAGACAAGATGAACACATGTATATCCCATGCAAGTTCTGTGAACTATGGCCCCCACCCACAATAACTGATGAAAAATCATTTCTGATGAATTTCAGATGATAACTTTCTCCATAAAAGCACAAGTCTGGGAGGGAGACAAGCAGTTCAAAAGCAGCTCATTTTCATATGAGGCACATCTATAATCCTAACTAAAAGAAACATTTGGCTCCATTACTTGTAAGGGCTGTCATCATGCCTTATCAGATTGTCCAACCAGGTCTGACAACCGGGACAGCAAAAATATTTTTGTGAATGGCAAACCTCAGCTGTGATGTAGCAATGTGTTCATTGTCTCATGATATGCAGGGTGAGTTTTCCTCTCACCAGTTTTGTACCCTGCCACAGTTTTTGGTTTTTTTTTAAACCAGTGATCTGGTAAGATACTGTAAGCAAAAGAGGTACCTGCATGATCCCATGCTGAACCAGTGCTCACTGGGCAGATAGTTCTATTAAGGAACTGGTGAGTCAGTGACTGGGGAGCAACATCCAAAAAACTACTCTTGGATTCTCCAACATACAAAGCAAATAACAGAAAAGGGACCATTTTAGGCTGTATATAGTTATAGAAGATTAGGAAGACCAGTTTCAGTCCAGGAAAAACAATGACTTCTCTGAGAGGGGTTTTTAAACACTTTATCAGCCCTAGAAATTTATTCTCAGTGTAGAGGCCCTACTACAAACTAAGTTTTGCTATACCAAATGTAAAAAGCCACAGCTCCTGCTCTTGGCTTACAATATGAATCCTGTACATCTCTTATTTTGCTATATAAGAGATTTTGGTGCAAGTTTGAGCCATTCTCAAGAAAAAAATGAATGCGAAGCGGTCAGTGATATTAAGACAAAGTCTTTCTTTCTATCCTTCTGATAATGAAGGAACAGAATAAACCTAAGAGAAAAAAACCCCGCCACATTTCTACACTTAAACAATTAAAATAGTCCTAATGCCTTGGAACAGTATTGCCAACTGACTATCCTGGATGATCCTTTCTCCAGCTTCTGCAGCAGAAAAGAACAGGGTTAAAAACAAAACAAAACAAAACAAAACCAAAACCATATCACAGTAACAAATGGTTAAGGATGGGAAGGATGTGAGGACACCCTGACACAACAAGGACCCTTCAACAGTTCCTGTTCAGTTTTCACCTGACTGGCTGCTACAAGCACAGTAGTATTTTTATAGCTAATCTGTTCTTTTCGCTCAGTAATCTGCATCAAAATGTTGCTTATACTTAGCTCAGTAATAGCTCTAGCCAATGAACACACACAAACAGCAAGGGCACTACAGGAATTCAGCCATACTGAGGAAAATTCTAATCCTACTAAATCTGGCTGCATAAATCTCTTACATAACCTGTGATTTAGAGGACAGTCTGATCACCTGGGAACATTAATGCGTTCTTCTCAGTACATTAAACAAAAATGGCAACTTTCCATTACAGATTTTGGTTTTCACTGCATAATGTCTCAGGAAAGGAGTCCCATGCTAACAAGACATTTTTAGTATCAACAAAAACGCTTTTATATGACAATTCAGTTACATTGAAGGTGTATAGAAGCTAAAAAGCTAACTTTTAAGTGCTTCTTTGCCAAGATTGCCTTGAACTGTGGTGCATCTTAGAGGTGCAGGAGAGGACTTGTGATCTAAATTTAAAGCAACAGGTCTCCAAAACAATGCTTGGAAAATGGGCATTTCTGAAAGTTGACCGTTGCATCAGCAAATTTTGCAAATCTCAGGAACTGAACCTCTCACAAGGCTAAGAAAGTTTGAGAGCTACAGATGGAAGATCCCAAGCACGTACAAACCACCAGAACAACAAACCAATCTATCAACTATTAAAAAAAACCCACGAACATTGTCCTCATCTTCCAAAAAAAAAAACCCCATTCCAACACGCAAAAGCAGTCGCCCAGTAATAGGATACAGGTGCATAAAAAGTTCTATTCACAAAATAAGTATGAGCAAAGAATCGTATTATTTAAATACTTGTTGTTCTTAAGTCAGTTACAAAATGAGGTAAGACTTCATACAGTGCCAAAATTTACAGAGTGAAATAAACATTCCATTCATACCATGTATCCAAGAATTACAGTCATGCTCCTGAAATTAAGATATCGGCAAGTTTTAGAAAGACAAGAAAAGAAGTTTTATTCACAGAATAGCAAAAAAAAAATCAATCTTACAGAACACACCCAAAAAGGGTGAAGAGTTCAGAGAATATCAGAGAATCTGCCACCTGAAATCACCACACGTTCTATAAGCACTTGCTGCAAAACATGAAGCCAATTATAGACATTTTCTTTTCATCTGTACAAAGGATGTGCCACAGCGATGTACACTAATATTAGAATTCCTTGATGTGTTTGGAAACAAGTGGCCACCACAATGTGGAAATAACTTCGCAGGCTGCCAGCTATCACCAGCTAGTTAATCCACATACCTCCATTCAACTGTTAAGGTAGGCGAAGCTTTGAAAATGAAAAGCAGCAACATTCCTCTCTTCTTTGGGGAGAATTGAGCTCATTCCACTATCCTGACAAAGCTTCTTAGTAGATATAAAATGCTGAAAAAAATTACCGTTCTAGCAACTGCTGGATGTCAACACATTTGGAACAAGAACCTTTGGTGACAAATGCTCAATAATGAATAGCTAAGGGTGACATGAAATGTCAGGCAAGCCCTTTTAGAGGGCTACTTACAGCACAACCACAGCATGGCAGGGGCTAGGAGCAAAGAGAGTAACTATATCCCCAGTATTCTTTATTTTCTCCCACTAACACATAGAAAGAACTTTTCAGTCCCTATTAGTCATGCAGTTGTCTCAGTAATAGATATGAGAACAAAAGGAAACCTAAACCAGAGTATCTATTCATAGGGAAATTCTCATTGATAGCTATTCTGTTACAGTTGAAAGTAAGTTGCAGAAGCGTAAGAGATTGCCAAGAGGAGACTGCTGGGAGGAGTAAACACTGAAATAGGTCTACTTAAAACCCCACCATGAATTCAGATTATCATTCTTTCCCCTTAACCTGGCACGCACAGTGAACACTTATTACTCTCCATAACAGAAATTGATTTCGTATGTAGAAATTAATCAAAGGACAAAAGAAATATAGAGCCACAATCAGCCTCATGTTCAGAGAGGCTCACTTCAAGTCTTATACCAAACCAATGCTGAAAAGAAGGCAGCCTGTTTTGATCTTTCAAATTTCACATGTATATAAGCAATTACATCACAGAATTGAAGAGCCAGTTTCAAACCAAGTATTTAAAAGTCAGACAAACTTAGGAAATGATGAGACTGAGACCTGGCATTAGAAGTTGAGGCTTGTTATTTTATTGCCTTGGGCCACCACATGCTGTATGTAAAGCCTCCTTAGAGGCTGACAGGAGAATAGCTAATTAATCTTGCTGCCAAGGTAAGAACTGGCAGAGTAACATGCTAGATTTCAATAGTTTAACAATTTGTGATTTAATCAATTCTGCTGTAGGCAGAAACAAAACACGACAGGACTTAAAGGGGAAGACGTAATAGTTTGAGGTGAGAGTAATTATAAATACCTATAAGATAAGCACAGAACTAAATGAAGATACTACTTTAATGAGGAGATACAAGCTCATATTTTATACATCTATAAAATATTACTATCAAACAAGCAGAAGACTCAAGATACAGCAAAAGAATAAAAGTGTTAATCTCAAAATCTGTGTTATGATGGTAACATAGTTTCAACCTATCCACTAGGATCTTTTCATTCACTTTGAACTTTATCAGTTGCTGCAAACCATTACCTTTAAATATCAGTTAACATAAGTGCTAAAACAACAAAAACCAAATATTACGTACATTTCTAGGCAAACAATCAGGCTGTCTTTACCTTTCATCTCATTCCAAGTAAATGTATTATCTTCCAGAAAGTAATACTCACAAATTATTTTAGAGAAAAGTTACTCCACAAAGATGCAGAAGTTAAAGTTCATAAAAAGACTAGTTCAATACAATTAGACAGAAGTTTGCTTGTAGTTCTTCGTATCCAAGACTTTCTTGCCACACATTGAGCAGATGCCTATAAGCACACAAAAAGTGTGTAAATTATTTCAAGATCATTAAAGTTTCTCTTCAAAAACATAGTTGCTATGTTTTTGTAAAGATCATTTTAAAAAAATTGTTTAGATGAGCTCTCGCTGACAATCCACCTGTGTATTTTCTCACCAAGTATTGCAAATTCTGAAGTAATAATATGACTTCTAATACAATTTAGTATTTGCAGCATATATGTAATACTGCAGCTTAAAAAAAAAAGCTCTATTTTGAGAGCATTATGATTCACAACACTGCCTGAAGCCTCTGTAGTTTGCTGGAATACTGGAAGAGAGCCAGGAAAGGCAAACTGGTAAAAAATGGTGCATCATTATACTTTATAAGTCCTGTAGCCAAACCGAGGCCTGAGACTGACAGAAAGTAGCTAGGCTAAGAAAACAAAGTCATCAAACTGACTGCTAAATGGAGGATTAACAGGTGGGGAGCTTCAGACAATTGAGAAAGTTGAGAAGCATACAGTTTCATAGAATTAAGCTATTTATAGAGTAAAAGTGAGAAACAATGGACACCAAGAATACTTGAACGTTGAAATGAAGATGACCACTGATGTCCCAGATGACTTTGACCTAAACCCAAAGAGTGGCAAGTCAGAAGACTAGAGCAGCAAAAAGTACACAATTTTGACAAAGGCGGGGGTTGTCTCAACATTTCCCTCTTCTTCTAATGCAGAAAGGTGCTAAGTGTTCTGTCTGGTAGGGCCATATCTCATTTTACAAGACCATTCATTAGCAGACAAAAAAAAAAAATCAAGTGGCAATTATTCCTGTTAACTCTCCCCAAATTGTGTGCTTTCATATATTGACATCATGTGACTGGACACATATCTAAGAGTCCATTAGGAAAGAGAACAGCAGGGAACATGTCACGTGATTTACTTCGGAGAGCAAAATCCAGTCCACATGTTCACTTCAGGTCTATATAGAGAGGTAATTAACTTTAGATTGCCTCTCAATTTCAGAGATATGTTTCAGTTGAAGCACTAAGCCATATGACTGCATTTACTTCAAGAAACATGCCACAACCACATCTTCGATAGAACTAGAACCTAAAGCACTTGAAGTTCTGAATTTTATGAAGAAATCAGATTCAACCTGGAAGGATACACAAGCAAAGACGAAATCCTGAAGCCCACCCAAACAAGCCGTAAGTTTAAGAAAGAGAACAAGGTTCTACCATATGGGATTCAGGGAGCCATCTGGTGAGCATCTAGCAACTAGAAAAGGCAACCCTCCCACAGCAGGCTGCTAAACCACTGACTCAGTGACACAGTACACATTTATAGAACAATTAAAGTCATTTCATAAACAAAACTTACTACTGGTTAGCTGTAGCTCTACATCTAACAATCGGTTCACCCCGTGTCTGTGTGCTATGTGGATTCTTCGGTACTAATAATGTAACTGAGTTCATGTTGCTTTTTTTCATGTCCAGGAATTACAAGTTTGAGCCCTTTTGCTTACCTACTCAAAATCACAAGACTAGTAAAAGTTTTATATCCTTAAGGCTCTCCATCAAATTTACTTGCTTTTTCTTCCTCTCAGGAATCTTGGAACAGTTTTTAACAATACTGCAGACTAATTATGAATATGGGAGATAGAAAGCTTCCAGGTATAAGCAGAATTTCAGTGCAATCATTCACATATACCTCAGAAGTACAGAAAGATTTTATATATTATGCAGTGCACAGTGCAACATGTTGTTTTCTAGGGATGATGGTTATATTCTTTTTCATTTTGCAGTTTCACCTTAAGCCAAGCTTGACTTACAATGCATCAAGCGTGTTCACTACTGGACCAGAGACCCCTTTTACAGAAATTAACCTTTCAATGGCTTATATTAAGCCACTGAATGCGCAAGACAACCATGAGCACAATTTGCCTTCAGAGGTATTTTCTTAAACGCCTTTTTTTTTTTTTTTACTCTTTGCTTTTTATTCCGCAGGTATTCTACTGTTGTTAAGCTAGCCTATAGCTTTACCAAGATCAGAAGTTGGATTTTTGGTTGTTTTATGGGGGTTTTTTTGTGGGTGGATGGTTTTGGGGGGTTGGTGGTTTTTTGGTGGGTTTTTTCTGTGTGTTTTGTTTGTTTCTTGGGGTTTGGGGTTTTTGGGGTTTTTATTTAGACCACCATTTAGATTTTTAGATATAACTATTAATAAAGAGAGAAGAGGTGAAAAGGAAGCAGAAAAGGGACTGCAACAAGCAATTGAGTTTTACAAAATATTTTTTGTTTTTTAAAAAAAACATGAAAAGTCAAACTTGTTAGATTATAGTTTTCTATGCAATTGCCAAGATAAAGTTTACAGTTATTCTTCCAGTTCTACTGCTTTAGAAAGCAGAAACATTCTAAAAGAAGCAGAATCATAGAATGACTTCAGCTGGAAAGGATCTTCAGCAGTCTCTAGACCTGCCCCACTCAAAACACAGCCAACTTGGATGAGGCTGGCTCAGGGTTTTTAAACTCAAGCTCTGAAAACCTCCTGTACAGATTTCACAAACTCTGTGGGTGATTACAGTATTTAACCACCCTCACAGTGAAAACTGCTCAGAAGAGTCTAACTCCATCTTCTCTACGCCTTGCTATTAGCAGTTAAAGATAGCAATTAAATCTCATCTTAGTCTTCTCTTTGTAAGGTGAAACAAAAGTTCCGCTTGCTCTCCAATTTCAAACCAAACTGAGGTAATTCGGTACTCAGTGAAACTCACCTTTTTTATAGGCACATCCTTGACAATAGTGAGACCCTGGCTGATGGACAGAACTCTTACAAATCCGACATATTGCAAATTTGTTCTTTCCGTAAGGATCAAACCTGAGAAAAAGGAAAAATATTTTATTTATACACCTTGAAATAAAAGAATTCCTCTGCCTCATCCTACAAAGTCTAAGCCAGAGTGCACAGACAGAATTTCCAGCAAAAACTGTAATTTAGAAAGAGACATACAAAGATAATTTCTAATAGGCTGCACAAAGTCTATAGAAAAGCTCCCATTTTCCCCCGTTAAGAGAGAGTTCTTCCCTTAGGAACACAAACTTAAAAAAAGCAGAACTAAAAATGTTATTTTTTTCATTAAGATACTAGACTATTTTGAACTTAAACACCTTCCAGCAGTTCCTTGCCCCCCTGCATAATAGAATGCCCCCCAGACATTAAGGAAACGCTCAAGAGACTGTACTGGCAATCTTAGCACGGAAAATAAGCCTTCCCAGCTCCTCTCCTAACAAAAGCATCAAGCCTTTGCAATTTCAGTGAGAACTGTAGTAAAATAGTTACCCAGGCTCTATGATTCAGCAGAAAGCACCCACGAGATATATATGTGCACACTTTCACCAACTAATAAAATGTCCTAATACCCACAACAATGTTTAAAAAATATTATTACATTTTGGACAAGTTTTGAACAGTGGCCCAGATACGCAGGAAACAGGCCTCAGTTACAGCAAACTGACTCTTTTTAGACGAAATCAGTATTAAATACTAACCTGGCCTTCTTTGAGGTCAATGCCTTGTTTTCATTTAACTTGCGGCCACCACTTTCTATAAAAAGAATAAAGCCACAAAGCAATAAATTTCCCAGTTCCAAGCATACTTAAAAAAAGCTTGGTGTGCAGCTTTTACAGACGTGCAAATGAAGCCAGAGAGGTAAAACACGTAACACAGCATTAAAGCATGGGACAGTAGAATACCTTATGCTGTGCTCTGGTTGTGTATTGTCGTTCCATACAAGGAGAAAAAAAACAGACAAGCTCAATACTGAAAAAGCTCAGGGTAAATAAGTTTCCAATGCATTACAATTAGCACAGAAAGAAAGCTACAGCAGTTGAAAATTACCCTGATTAGGTACTACAAAATTTAGCCTTAGGTCGTAAGATACGTCAGGTGCCCAATTGGCTTTAAGATACCTGAAAAACAAGCGTTAAACAGCCCCAAGGTTACCTGTAGTGTTTCTCGCGCCATCTTTCCACGTATCGGGAGTGATTACCGTACCGAGTTTCTTCTCACCTACGTAAGGACACGTTACAAAGAAGTTAAAACCACACTGCGTTAATGCCCGCAACAAGCGCTGCCCGCGGAAGAACATCAGCTCACACGCAGACGTTCCCGAAACCACCACCGACAGCCCGCCCTGTACAGCCCAGGAAGCCCGAAGACAGAGCGCAGGGGACCCTCGGACCGCCCGCACTCACACTTCTCGCACACCATGGCGGACCCCACCACAACAAACGGCCGCTTCCGGGCC